TTAACCCTAGATAGGTTACAGGTTGTGGGGCGATTGGTTTTGAACTTTTTAATTTCTTGTAAACTACTTACGTAATAGAGAAAATTCTATGTGGGCCGAACGAAGTGAATAATCTTGTTCCTGTATGTAGGAAGTGTAGGATATGTACGCCAAGATCGCTGCGTTGGTTGGCCTTGATAGGTGTCCCAAAATTGTGGTTTACGTCGAAATGTTGTCTGCGAACAACGCTAGCGGGATACGGCGGAGAGAGCGACTAACCGCAACAGGGTTTTCACAAAATCGATTTTCCCGATTGGTCTGGATGATTCATGGCTCTGATTTGAAACTGATATTTCAGTTTGGGGATTCAAACTTTAAAAATGTTTGAAAAAACAGTACCCAGGAAAGTAGAAAAGGCGGATGGAGCAATTAACATAGAATATATGCAAATCTGAAAAGTACCTTAAGCAAACGCGCTAAAAATGTAACAACCATAACATTGCCTTTTTAAATCTGCAAAAGAATTCTAAATAGCCTACATCACTAGAATTTCGCCTATCTGTATTTTTTAGTCGCTGCATCTGCAAATCAATAACCCACGGTAAAAAATGAGCCAATTAACCTTATTTTCAAACTGAGTCTAGCTCTAAGGCCTCGAAATTTGGAGGCAAGTGCTCACTCTAGAGGTAAATGCTTAATAAACTTTTATTCATACAATTCTGAGCATTTGCTGCAGTTGAGAGTACGCTCAGAGATGGAGCAAGTGCTCAGAGACTGAGGCAATTGCCTCACCACTTGTATTCATACTCGCAAACTGAGTAGGATCTCCGGAAACTCGGAGCAAAGACTTATATTTATTCCGTACGCCTCAATACGCTTCTCCGTCAGTCGCGAGGCGTTGGCCTACATTTCACGGCGCCCGTTACTTGCAAGCTTTCGGAAAAAAGCCGGAAAAAAACTTTTGGCTCGCGACGGCGTCGCTGCCTTTGCTTCGGGGCGGCGACCGTTTTCACCTCGGTCGTCGCCCATTTTGCGTCGTCTTCCAGTCTCTTCTCTTGCTCGCACGGCGCCTCACGTCCTCACGCTTCTTTCTTGCCCCGTCGTCTCCGTTCAAGCGCCGCGCGCGAATGTCCTTGCAACGTCGCAAATGACTTTGAATTTCGGGCGTTCGCGTAGCAGCGATAGCAAGTTCAATTAACGCTTCTGTTTTGAAAGTTACTACTTCTTCACTGCATACATTACTGTACCATCTTTATGTCTACTGAATCACTTGAATATTGAATCAGATTGATACTCCCGTCTATCTGACAAAAGGCTCTCCTTCGGCAACTTTTTAATGAATTTGTTTGTGAATTACTACTATAGGATCTCTGACGTGCAGAATACTCTAATCTGTCGTCGATGTGCTGGCTTGAAGGGGTTTCGGAAACCAGAAGAATGAATGTTGGGCGCTTGCCGTTTTATTGTGACCGGCCCTCCTTGGTAATGGTTGCGGGCGAGTTCATCTCTGCATCCGCATCTGACCATTGCTCATTTTGTCTGCGCGCGCCATCGCGGCACTAGTAATCCAATGCTACACATCCGCGCCCATTTTGAATGGTCTAGCGCCGTCGTTTGTTTTGTTGTTGTGGTGTGAGCACTCGCGCGGTTCGTCAATATATATATATATATATATAATATATATATATATATTATATATATATATATAATATATTGTGACGTACTGGGAAGGAGGTACTTTCAACGACAAATAATTATGCAAGGGACAAGTACATTTCGTGAATTAGTCTCCAGGAATTTGACGCAGCATAGGAAGATAATCGTTGTAAATCTTTGCATAGACATCTAAATATTTTAAATGATCAGCGAACAACACTTAAAATCGCAATGCGAGGCCGTTGGAAAAAGCGCACGGTTCAACGCTAACCTTGATGTTTTACACAAAACACGCTGCTTCTCTGGAGGCGACCGGGGGGGCCGTCGTGGCAACGGCGGTGTGTCTTCGGCAATCTTCGGTTCGCCGAAGTCGCCGGGAATTCGCCTCCTCGGCGAACCACTCTCTGGCCCACGTAACGGCCGATGATTGCCGGGGTCACCAGCAGGTGTGAACAATGTTCACGGGTATGGGAACGCACGACGCGTGATTGAATGTTCGTCGGCTGTCTAGTCTTTTCAGCGATCCTTTCTCAACTTTGCGCGATGTCCGTACCGTACTGCCCACGTGTCTATATTATACCAGGGCGGGATTATGACACGAGCCACCGCTACACGATTGTTGTCTATTGGTTTTTATCAGTTCTGGGGCGCAGATTCTACTTTCCACTAATCATCTGACTGGTTAATCCTTATCAAACTGGTTCCACATTCAGCGGCCACACTCAGTCGCGAACTGCACTTAACAAGCCAAATAAATATTTTGGAACGCAGCACGCCGTCGTGCCTTACTCGAGGCTCTCCGCGCATCACTAACCGTCGCTCGCCCGCCGTTTCCCCCCCGATTTGACCGTTGGTTGGCGGCGGCGTACTCTGCGCTGAATCAACTCCGTCTTTTATTCTTAATTTTATAATTAGTGATCATTTTAATTGTTTAATTACAGAAACGATTTCGTTTCAATATATATATTATATATATAGTATATATATATATATTATTATATATATATAACGTGTAGATGTCGTCTCTTTTCGGAGGTTGGACGTTGCTGGACGGGGACCCGGAGGCGTTGGGGTTCGAGGCGTGTGCGCGAGCGGAGCGTGGAGTAAGTTGTAGTACGTTGTCGCCTCGTTCGCAGGTGGAACGGTTGCTGGACGGGAACCCAGAGGCGGCGTTTCGAGCGGGCGTGCGCGGAGGCGGAGCGTGGAGAAGTTGTGATGTTGTCGCCCCTTCGCAGGTGGACGGTGCTGGGAACGGGGACGAGAGGCGCGTTCGCGCGCGTGTGGCGGAGGGAGCGCGCTCAACGTGCACTGGGGTGGAGTGCGTGGCGGCGGAAGGGCGAGCCGGACGCGTGGGCCTGTGGCGTGCGGCGCACGCGCGGGGCGCGCCACGCCCTGTGGGCGGGTGCGGGCCGGGCGAGGGCGCGTGCGCGCGCGAGGCGGCCTAGTGCGTGCACGGGGTCGGGCGGGCGCGGGCGGGGACGCGCGCGGCGTGGGGCGCGCGCGCGCGCTTGCTGGTGGGGCCGCGGGGCCGGCAAGTCTGCTTCCTGCGGAGGGCGCGCGGGGGCGCGGCCGGGACCCCGCGCGCTGGTCGTCTACTGCCGCTGCTGCAGCAGTCGACTCCTGGCGCGAGATGCCGGCGACAGGTGAGGTTACTGCGCCGTGAAATTCTGCGAACGAAATCTTAGCTAAGCCAACGAAGTAATTAGAAGCTTAAGGAAAGTGGCGAAGAAATGAATTGCTTCCCTTGCATTGAACACATCACATTATTTTTCAAAAGAAACATTGCCGTAAGAATACCTAGAACTTCTGTACTATAAATTAAAAGGATCTATTCTAACAATCCCTCAGGATTTCTGAATTATGGGTAGCCAAGAACTTTCAAACCAAATTTAAAAATCTTTAAGGAATTATTTTCAGTCGATTGCATTTTGGGGGCTTAATTTGATGACAAGGTTGCATCTAATGAATGAAGATGAATCTAGATCTAAAATAAGGAAGAACAATTGTAGAATATGTGATAATTCCAATCGAATTGAAATACATAATGTTAATTGCTGGCATTGTCTTCCAGTGATATATAAAGGGTAAAATGAAAAATATAGAATATGTAGAATTTTGCTATTTAAAAATTCAGCAGGCTTCACATGTTAATTTGGGGTCCAACAACTATTCCCAGTTCTCTGAAAACTCCAATTTGTATAACATCAGAAAAGTCGATTCAGTAAATCCAACCGATTGATGTGATAAAACATGAGATGTCACGAAATCTCAAGAAATGTTTTGAAAATTTCTGGAATTCTACATTTTTTCTTTCTGTACTACCCTTTATTGAAACTAAAGATTTTGGTTTAAAAGCTATTGGATTCTTCATTATTGAAACTTTTAATGATATTACAGTTTTTAAGATTTAGTAGATTTGGTGTACTATTTCAATTGATTCCCTAAATTTCGGTAAAAAAAAATAAAATTTTTTTAAAAAATGTTTAAAGTTTTCACTCGTAACTTCACTTAACGGCCTATAGGAACAATGTCCTCAATCACAAGACATAAGTGTCATTACGCACGGTACGTCCAATTATACTGAAACTATCTTGTGTCATAATATTTATGTTACAGATTTTTTCGTAATTCAAATGTATTTACGGAATAATAAAAATTTGTAAAAGTAAATGCAATGAGACCTGTGCCATTTTTCTGTACTCTAGGAAGAAAAGAAGAAAAAGAGAAAGAAAATATTAAAACGGTATTGTAAATTAAAAAAAATATATTAATTATTGAATTAACTTCAAGCAGAATTCATGTGCAACTGCTAATTTTTTCAAAAAATTCGTAATAGATCTTATTTTAATATCTGAGTTTTTGAAAAGATTTTCTTTAAGAAAAATCTTACGTCATACATTTTAAAACGTTTGCATACAACTTTTTTTTAAGAGAAAATTTAAATAAAAATAATCCGAGTTATTGAAAAGAAAATATTTGTATACATGAAACACACTATTACTATCTTCTACGTTCTTCTATCTTAGTCGTATGTTGTGTGTTTAGTGTAGTGATTGTGCACGTATGTATTCGCATCCTATGAGTGCTGTAGCGTAAAGAAGTGGGTAGTGGTTTATTTGCTTGTAAGTGAACTCTTCTTGAAGTGCAAGCCCTTGATATGAAATCATTTTCTGAAATGTTGGCAAACAACCAAGTGTTAAAATGTTTGCTCCTACTAACAAGCTCCTTAACTGACTTCAAACATATAAAATATATAGTTCTGATGTGGAATCTATTTTTTAAACTATGCGCAATAATTAATTTGTAGGAGAAGATTTATTATTTACTTAGGTGAAAGGGACATAATGGTGGTCTTTGCTTTCTAATTCAGTATTATCGTGAACTCTGCGTGAATCAGTGTTATCATTATTATGTAGTAGTTGTCATGAACATGGATGCAACTTTGGATGTCACCAATTTATAGTTTTTCTTAAACACTACATATATTTACCCAAGGAAAGGGCCATGAACAACATGATTTTTGTTTGGTTTTTTTTTCTTCAGAATTACTGGAAAACGTACCTTAAAGCAAACGCCGATAAAAATCGTACCAACCATACATTGTCCTTTTCAAATCTGCTAAGATTCTAATAGCCTACATCACTAGAATTTCGCCTTATCTTGTATTTTTTTAGTCCGATGCATCTGCAAATCAACCCACGGTAAAAAATCAGCCAATTTAACCTTACTTTTAAACCGTGAGTCTACTACTAAGGCCCCTCCGAAATTTTGGAGCAAGTGCT